AGGAGCCTCGGCGCCAGCGGCTGCACGTGTGCCACAGGTGGGTCCTGCCCATGGGGCGGGGCCTGGAACTGCCTCTGGCGGCTCTCTGTTTCTCAGACTTCAGTTCATTCTTGTGGCACCTGCCTGGCCCTGATTTAACATCCGTTCCCATGTTTGGACACCAGAAGCGGACAGAGGCTCCAGTGATCACAGGTACCGACCAGCCCCAGCGCACCCTCAACAAATTAACAGGGGTTTGAGCTGCCAGTAAATGTCAGCGCCACCTGCCCAGCAACTCCTCCCACTCCACAATCAGCTGATTGGCTGGGGTCTGGAGGCTGAAGAGTGGGGCAGGAAGAGACAGGGCAAGGGTGGGGACTTAGGGGAAGGGCCTGGGTTGGAGGGGGCTGAACACCCCCAGGCCCATCGGAAGCCAGCACGTATACCAGCAACGATCTAATGCTGTATATAGCAGTGACTCCACCCTCCGCCTCCTGCTTTAACATCCAAGCAAGGCCAGATCTTCAGAAGAGCCAGGCACGTTTAGAGCTGAGCACTACTGAAAACTCTGCCGTCCCCTCCCCAAGCGCACTACACAAGCTATTTCACACTGTGCTGCAGACAGTGGTTAATCAGCTCTCAGACTTGTCTGAATGGGGGAAGCCCACGTTATATCATCCCATTTTATTGAAGGAAAAATTGAGGCAGAGTGGTTCTGACTATTTTGTAGGGCCCTCCTTCCCCACTCTCAAATGACAGGGTGTGGCACTTGGCTCTCACCAGCAGGGACAACACACCCCAGCCTGGCTCAGCTGTGCACTAGCACTAACTAGGTATTCGAGTTACACAGTTAGACTTTAGGAAACACGGTGAGTTGCTTGCGGCACTCGGCGCTGCTGGAAGGCCTGTTTGCTGTGCGACTGTCTGGTGTCCGCAGGAGCAACTATTAACAAACGTGGAACAATGTTTCCAGCAGGCGTGGGCTCCCAGCCAATGAAAACCCCTCAACACCTGGCCCACCACTGCGGAACATCAAAGGACAACAGACTTGGCCGCTTGCGCTCTCCCCCTGGAGAGGGTGTTTGGAACCAAATTCCTTTCAGCAGCTCAATCTGAACCTCGAAGCAGAAGCCAGGAAGGATTAAAAAAATCCTACCAAGGAGAATCGTCTTTCTTTTATACCCCAGTATCCGGGGTAATTAGCCCTAAGAGACACGCTGAGTTTGCTTATTACAGAAGCTTCGATGACCTCTGGCAACTTAAGGCTAACTCCTTTGTAGGGGTGATAGAGGTGTAGCCCTTTGCAAGGGGTAATTGACCTGCTTTAACTTTGTAAATACCTTTCCTACAGCTGACGCTTTCTGGTCTAGCACCCTCCGGACCGGACCGGTCCTGAAGCAGGGACTTCGTTGGACCAGGGGAGATCAATGCTTGCCCTTCTACTGCTCTGGTCCCTGGGGGCTGCAGCTGCACTGCTCCAGCCCGGAGGCTGGCTGGGGCACAAAGGCTCTGCTCCTGGACTTTGTTCTTCTGTAGTCCAGGAGCGCGCCTGGCCCTGCCCCCTGAACACTCCAGCACCAAAGCGCCCACAGATGGCCAGCGATGCCGGACCAGGGGTGTTGCCAGGGATTAGAGAGGTTCAGCTGCATTTCCGTTTCCTAGGTTGTGCCCTGCTCTGGCACAGTCTGCCCTGAGCCGCCAGGACAGCTCACTGCACCTTCTGTGTCCGCCTCTTTGCCATGAAAGTCATCAAGTGCTGAAAATCTCTGGCTCAGTAACAAAGCCCTATGGGCTTGTTGCCAAACACCCCACGCGAGACTGCACCAGAGGAACAGGCGCCAGAACCTGGGGCCTTTATTTTCAAATGAAAACCTGCGAGAAGTTGGTTTTGTGGACAGGATGGAGCCTGACCCTCCCCAGTCCCCCCCATCTCTGGACCCCTTGCGAGGCAGCTGTTTCTTTTCATGTGGGCTAGGAGCAGCAGGGATGATCCACCAGCGCCCCCGCCCCCATTTTTAGCTTTGAGGATCCACTCACAAAGAGCAGCTGGCTTGCAGGCACCTTCGGGAGCTTTCCTGCCTCTTCTCCCCAGTCCACACTGGGTGCCAAACCAGCAGCTCTGATCCGCTGCACCTGGCTGTGGGTGGGTCCTCCAGCAGCCAAGCCCCACCTCTTTCCTCCTTCAAAATGAACAGCCCTGCACCGAACGCCCTGGGAGCTGCCAGCAGGGAGAGCACTAAGGAGCCCCCAACTTTCTGGGGTCAGCTGGCAGTGGGACTGGCACACAGTGACCTGGGGGGGGGGGGGGGGGGGGGGAGCCGTGAGACGCAGGGTCTGGATTTGTATTTGACGTTCTGTGAAGTCGGGGGTGTTCGGTACATCGGTGCGTATGAAGATGCTCAGGGAAGCACGGCCTAGTGGACTGAGCACAGGAGGTGAACCAGGAATCTCTGCAGCCACTGTCTGTCTTGGTTTCACCATCGGTAAGTGGGGATCCTGGCCTCCCACCCGCCTGCCTGGTGGAGACCCCCGCCTGCTGGGATGACCATGGAAAGTACCCGCAGCCCCCAGTGCATGTGGCCTGGGCAGAGGCAGCCCCGAGCTCCTCCGGCCCCATAGCAAGGGGCACACTTACCGTGCCCCGCTCGTCCACGGGCTGGTTATAGAGCCTGGTGCTGACCACGTCAAAGGGCGTCATCGCCACGGCCACCGAGCTCCTCCGGCCCCATAGCAAGGGGCACACTTACCGTGCCCCGCTCGTCCACGGGCTGGTTATAGAGCCTGGTGCTGACCACGTCAAAGGGCGTCATCGCCACGGCCACCGCCACGCTGCTGATCATGCCTCCTGCCAAGGCCACTATCCAGCTGCCCTCCTTGAACCACTGCCAGACACGGGACCTGTTAGATCAACCCCCTTCTCCTGAGCGCCGG